TGATAGGTAAAGACATCAAGCATCTATATAAAAAAAAATTATATTGATATGTTCATTTTTGAAAAAGTTACGGCAGTTTTTAGTAAAAAAAATTGAAAAAATTTCGAAAATTAGCGATTTTTAAATTTGTAATTTTTTTGGAGGTTTCCCCCATTTACGGGGAACGAGGGAAATTTTTTCAATTTTGAAGGGTAATGTCTTCGACTAGATACGATTTGTGATCTTTTGACGTATCGTTGAAAGAAATCCGTTCGGTGAGAGCTGAGAAAAAGTGGTAACAGACAAAAAAAAAACACATCATAGTAAAACCAATACCTTCTCAGCTTCGCATCGAAGCTAAAAACGGTAGCACAGTGGGGTCGCGGCATAGTGGAGACATTGCATAGTTGGGTCCAGTATAGATTTAATCTGACAGTGATTAAAATCACTATCATAAGAAACCCTAGATCATTGCAAAGACACAGACCACTTGGAAATAGTTTATTGTAATGGACAGTTGTGTTATTTAGAATTTCTTTAATAGTCTTACAAATTGTTAGATTACAATTGCGTTAGTATAAAACATTACGTACAAGGCTAAGAAACATACCACATAAATATACAAAATATTTCAATTTGTAATCTTGCTTTTTTGACTGAATAATCTAGTTTTTGATAAGTTTGGGACAGCTTTTTTATAGTAAAGATGCATAAAGTCAGGTAATTCGTTTTAATATCCCCGTTCATTAATAAACCCTTGAAAATTCATGGATTAATTCTTAATTGATTTTGAAATAATTTCATATGATGACTATAACAAATTTTAGTCGTACGTTGACATTTAGCTCTTAAATTAGAAGATACATCATAATTATTTGAATAATATGATAATTTAAAGTTTTTGTGAGCAATATTTTTTGTTTAATATTATTTCTAAGTTCAGCGCTAAACCATAATGGAAATGTACTTTTTCCGATTTAATACGTCGGTATTTATTTAAGAATCACGTCATTTAAACATATTAAAATTTATTAACAAATGCAATCATTTCCCAATAAATTATCCCCATCTATAAATTCAACTCTCTTGTTATTACATTATAATATTTAAGTATAATCTACTCATTTTATCATAATATTAGCAATTATCTTTGCAGACATATAATCAAAGACATATTAATATAGACTACAGGACAAAGATAATTTTCATATAGTATATTATTAACTTCTAGGAACTTTTTAGCCAATTTACAATTTAAAGTGAATTAACTAATGAACGTACAAAATAATTTAATAAATAACAATGTTTATTAAGCGTTGAACAGCTTTATTTCATTTAAACAACAATTAAAATAATTAGTTTTATGAATTATATTTAATTCAGAAAAAAATAAAGATAATTGAACAAACAAAATCTAAAAATATAACAAAAAATTAAATAATGTAACAATAAACAAATATATAACTAATAAATAAAGCAATAAGATGATTGGTTATGAAAAGGCAAACAGTTTATAATAAACGTAATGAAAAAAATATATATAATATAAAAAGACATCATTACAGCCCGTAATCTTCTGTTAACAACGTTAAGGAATATAGACATTGACTGACGAATGCAAATGAATAGGAGGGGTTTGGTTGGGTTTATAGTAATTTATAATCAAATCAGTTTCACCACCGTACTCGGTCCAATAGTTTTTATTGCTTCTACGTTAGCATAAACAGTAGTTAACATTTCTTTTGGCGGAGGTGTTACGACAATTTCAATTAATAANGCGGAGGTCTTACGACAATTTCAATTAATAAAGACTCTCCTTCAAATTTCTTTGGAATCTCATAGACATCTTTTCGGTTAAACAACATCGTTTGTGCTATGTCAATCAAGTAAATTTTTAACATACCCTCGTTCGTCTCGTCCATAATTTTCCCACGGTACCATTCAACGCCAAAAAATATCAAGCACATGTCGTACTTTTCAACTTTCTGGATGCGTCTCAAGTTATTTTCCATTTCGCGTAGTTTATCGCACAAGGTGATAACAGAATTTCTACTCTCCATAGAGTGTACAAGATAACACGTCTTCGTTCGTTTTTGAACTATCATTATCTGTGGAAAAATTATAGTAATAAAAGATTGTATGTATGATAATTATAAATAACTAACTTTTTGCGTCTCGCCTAGTTTTAATGTTGGTTTCTTAGTACATAGGTCTTTTGTTGTATAGGTCTCAGTGCTGAGATTTCGTTCTTTGCAGTATTTTACTTTAACTTCATATGGGTTCATATCTGTGTTTTTAGTGACATATTGTTTAGGCTGCGTTTCTTTCGGAGTTACGGTGTTCTTGTACTGGTTAAGTCGGTCTTGAGTTGAATAAAGTTTGTTGTCGTTAGATAAGAATTTCGTGTTCATATTGAAAAATCGACCGAAAAACGCAGTTATCGAATCGTGTCTTTCGTCGATATAATTGTGTTGAGGTTCCACGTTGAGGTCGAATAATTTTCCAAATTGTATTAACTAGAAAATTAATTATTCAACATTAACTACAATTGCGGTTTNGAATAATTTTCCAAATTGTATTAACTAGAAAATTAATTATTCAACAATAACTACAATTGCGGGTTTACACATATGCTTCTCGAGACTGTAAACTTCGTGTTTCTTATACGATGGGCCGCCTCATGGGGGAGACGTCACTATGACTTGTGGCTTATATTTTTTCAAAGTTTCTCCAATTTCGAAGAAGTCTCCCTGTATAAATGTAATTTTCTCCCTGACACCATAAATCTCGGCGTTTCTTTTGGCGAATTCTAATTTATTAGCATCGATATCCACTGCGATTACATGTTTGTATCTCTTGGCCAATTGGATGACGTTTCCACCAGCACCACAAAACGGATCCATAGCGACGTCTAGACCAGGGCATCTCAACGCTATATGTTTGCTTAAGATCTCGGGACAAACGGAGTAAAATGATTCTGGAAAAAAAAATGCTATCGTTAATAGTAAAATACTAAAGTTTGCTTAAATAATTAATTTATTACCATGGTCCATCATGATTCCTTGGTCGAATTTAGAGAACAATAAGTACCTTTTATCCCATAAATTTTTTTTAATATCATGTGGACGAGTTCTAGTAGCGTTATTTTCACATCGTAAAGTTCTATTTTTTTTAGTTTTTTCCAGGTCTTCTGATGTTTCAATAATTTCTGTTAATTTCTTAAGCGGTTTTCTATTAAAGTTGTTCGGATTATTTTTTAAAGTGTTGTTTTCTTGAGTTGACGTGTAAATATTTCCCGGCAATATTTTTAACGGTTGAGTTGAATGATTGTTTTTTGACTGTGATATGTTTGTGTTAAAGGAATTATTAGCTAATACAGAAGTGTTTTGAGCTGAATCACGTGTATTATTGGTGTTATATTGTTGTCTATTTTCGAGTTGTTTGAATTTATTTGACTCTTGTTCGTCAATTTTACGATATTTCATAAGTCTATCCTGGGCCGTATACGGCTTTACATTGTTCACTGGATAACGTTCGGCGTCATTGTTCGGCTTAAGTCCAGGTTTATACACATTCTTCCATGTATAATTCTTTTCATATCTATTGCCGACGTCTTTGGGTTTCAAAATTTCAACATTCCAAATCTGAGTGTTTAGACTTTTTTTAGATGTTGAATATGTCAATACGAGTTCAGTTTTGTCAATACACGCCTTAAAAAATATAAGTATAAATAACAATGTTATGTACACATATTTTTCACTTACGATGTTAAATACTTCTTTCTTTTTGATAACATTGATAAGTATATTCATCGAGGACGTGTCGATTTTATAAATTGCCCACATATTCCATGAAGTTTAACGCGATACTCTTCGGACTGTTCACGATTTTTGTCATTTACTTTGGTAACTTAAATTTTGCATGTAGTCATAATATCTTATGACAATTTGATCTCCTATCTCTAACGGCGCCATAATTATGCTCAATATTATCGCAACTGAATTTGATGGCAGTTTTCGGAAATAGACTTGCGAATGTCGCGTTGATTTCAAGATTTTTGAATTTTGATTTCGACGCGACTAAGACTAATAGACTAATTTGGCTTCTACAAGAGCTTCTATGTTCTTCGTTCGCTGGTTAGACTAATNGAGCTTCTATGTTCTTCGTTCGCTGGTTAGACTAATAGTCCCAATGCATTTTCAGTTTACTAGCTCTTTTATACTAATTTTTTTCCGTTTTTTTTGGCCAACAACAAATAACGTTGCTAAACAAATTTTCATTATTTTAAAAATAAATATGTTATTTTACGATCACCATAATAGATTGCTTTCAGCCAATAATTAATTTATATTTTTTCCAGTTATACAAAATGAAAAAATTTGATTTAGTACTGTTATTTGTCATTGGCCAAAAAGTCTTGTTTACTTTTCATTTAAGCCAATTAATATAAAACAATAACAAATTTTCATAGTGACCGAAATGAGTTATTTTATTAAACAAATTTAATAATAGTTGGCCAAAAAATCTTGTTTACTTTTTATTTAAGCCAATTAATATAACAAATTATTTTTATTGATTTCCTAGTTTCTTAGTGACCGAAAAGAGTTATTTTATTAAACAAATTTAATAATTGTTTGCCAATCATTAAAAATATTTTGTTATATTAATTGGCTTAAATGAAAAGTAAACAAGACTTTTTGGCCAACGACAAATAACAGTACTAAATCAAATTTTTTCATTTTGTATAACTGGAAAAAATATAAATTAATTATTGGCTGAAAGCAATCTATTATGGTGATCGTAAAATAACATATTTATTTTTAAAATAATGAAAATTTGTTTAGCAACGTTATTTGTTGTTGGCCAAAAAAAACGGAAAAAAATTAGTATAAAAGAGCTAGTAAACTGAAAATGCATTGGGACTTTTAGTCTAACCAGCGAACGAAGAACATAGAAGCTCTTGTAGAAGCCAAATTAGTCTATTAGTCTCAATCGCGTTATCGTTATCGTTAACGTAAATCGTTAATTTCTAATGTTTTCAAAATATTTATTGACGAATCAAGTTTGATATGATAATTTAATATGATAGGTTTCAAATACAAAATTAAATCATTTTGCTTTGTAATTTAATAATTTTTTTACTCTATTTATGTGTGCAACTACTAGACTATAATATTCAAAATTTTGCTATATAAATCATTTCTAAAAAAAATGATTCCTAGTTTCTCCTGAATTAATAATGGATTTTTACAATTATAATCAAATTTTATAGTACGCTATTAAGTAGATCTTTTTAACAACTTTGTTTTGATTGGTTCATTTAGTTAAAGTAAATCATTAAAATTAATTAAGTTCTCAATATTTCAATTATAGAATCTTTTGATATTATAATGCTATTGTTAACAATCTTGGCTTGTGCGATATATTGACTATAATAATATCATTACACTATTTCAACGAATTCTATATTTAGCTGTGGAATACTTATCAGCTCGTTATCAATGTTAATTTGCACCTTCACTACACGGAGAAATAAATCTGTATTGTAGAAGATCTGTTTTTTTTTTTTACTTTTATATTAATTTGTTGATAAAATAATGAATTCAAAATTATTTTTTATCTTTAAACTAAAAAATCCTGAAATAGCGGTGACTTCTAATCAAATAATTAAAAGTCATATTACATACATTATTCTATTGTTGGACTTATTACGTATAGTCTTTTCACTTTTTATATTTTAAAATTTTCTTTCAGACATCCAGTTTGAATATTGCTAATAGTAACATAACAAATAAATTGGTTATCGTCACTAAAGATAAATAAATAAACCTACTTATGAAATTACTTATATAGGCAACTCAAAATTTGATTTAGATGATTTACAGTCTGGTCCAAAAAGATCCATATTAGAGGTAAATCATTTATAAAACTGACAACATAATATTTACATTGTATGTTAAATATATATTTTAATTGCTATTAAGCCTATTATAGGAACGGTGTACTTACACGAATCTTCGGCATTGGTTATTCGTCATCTTCCCGGCGGTTGTCAGTAGTTGTTACACGAATCAAAGGGATATAAATATTTGGATTTTGTTAGTTACATATGTATCTCTATATGCCTGTTATGAAATAATTTTTAGGTCCATTCTTTATATATTATACAGGGGTGTCAAATTTATTTGTTTAAATGGCAGCATACATATTAAACTAGTTTATAATATAGAATATTATCTAATTAAGAAAATAACTCTCGACAATAACTTTTGGATCAATTCTTTGAAAGTTATTAGAATTTTAAAATATAGTACTGATGGTGAAGCCCAGATACTGCTATTTTTATCATTAGTCATTTTTTGGTCACATATCTTCTGCCACCTAAGTACAGAAATTAGAATATCTTCCAAAGCACTGGTCTAAAAGTTTTTGTTTTAAATTACAAATGCCATTTCCATTTACATAACCATGGCTTCATTTTATGAGGTTGAATATTTTTGAGTATGGTATAATTATTGTTCAAAAATTAACATTTATTATTTGTTTTTTATATTTATTAGTTATGTGGATCTAGAGTTCTTGCAAATGGAAAACTAACAAAATTGGATAATCATGCTATTATTATATTACAAAAACTCATTTAACTCTTATTGAAAAATAGACAAGACATTATAACGTAACTGTCAAAAAAACTGACACTATTCATACCCAGTTAATAAGTCAATCTAAACTAGAATTTGACGCTAATAGGTAATGTATGAAAAGTCTAATTGATATGACAATTTTTTGAGTATCTAAAGACTGACTTGACACTATGAAAACAGATCATCATTAAATCAAGATAGGGAACTAATTTAAATGATCTAATCAAGTAATGAAAACTGTGTAGATAAAATTATTAATTTCTTATTAAATAATTTTTCTTAGGGAATTTCAACAAAACCTGTGTTTTATTTTCCAAGCATATACCCATATTTTCTGAAATATTTAACAAAGAAACAAATTACACTAGTCACCATATTCGAAATAAAATAATTGAAATATGTGCAAATAGCGAAAAAGAGTAAAAAGTATAATGTGTGATGAAGCAAGGTAATAAATTCAAAAATCAGCATTGATAAAAAAATGTATAATTAATAAACACTAATATTACTATTACATTTTTGCTTTAGTTGTAGATTTTATGAAGAAGAACAAANTTAGTTTTAGATTTTATAAAGAAGAACAAGTGTTTAATATTATTTTGAAACTTATAAATTAAATACTAAAGCTCAAATAATTTCACAATCCTATAATGGTTGGAATTTCTGTGGAAATATCATGTCTGGAAATTGAATGGAATCAATCAAGAATAAGAATTGGTATGCTTTATAGAATAAATCTTTTGGTTGCAGATAGGTGCAAAATGTTTAAACTAAAAACCAATATTAATAAAATATGTTTGTTTTATTAAAATAATAAAATTTTATTTTGTAATAATTAAAATTTTTTAGGAAACCTTAAGTTTTTTTAACTTGATTAAATGTATTTACATTCATTTTTCTCATTCCCAAAGAATTGTCAATTAGTTGAATTGCATAAAAACTTGGATACAAAAACAAATNATTAGTTGAATTGCATAAAAACTTGGATATAAAAACAAAAACTATGGGCGCATAAGTAATAATAGATGGCATTGTAGATTTAAAAACTGTGAAGCCATTAAACAATGTTTCTAGAGTATTCTTATTGTACTTAAAAGAGAAATAGAAAATGAAACTGATAAAGATGTCAATAAAGCAAAAGGTATAATTTATAAATCACTATTGTTTTTTTATCCAATTGATGTACATTTCATTGATAGTTGTTTTATTTGAAATACTCTCAACTATTACAAAAGGAGACATTTATTATAGTTTAGTTCGTCATGCACAACATCTTGTGTATGATCTTGGCTGTGCTTAATGCAGAGACTGACTGACAATCAAAGTTCCACTGTTTCTAGATAATAAAATGTGAAACTAAAATAATAACTATTCCCTATTGATACATTTATTACTTGTTTTATTATTTATTATTCACAATATTATTTAAATTGATTTTTGCAAACTGGGATGATACTCAAATAATATATTTTCAACAATAATAAATAGTTTTTTTTAAATTATTTTCTACTTATTTAAAATAAAATACTGTCTTGAATTTTACTTTATTTTTTCTCTCAGCATAATGAATAGATATAAAAATACCTTTATATCTTTGAAATCTTATCCTAGGAAAGATTAGTGTAATAAAAGTTGGCTGTGAGTGAAATGAGTTACTGGGAATCGTTTCTGTCGTATCGAAAACATATTTTCCACAAAATTCAATAGTTAATATTTTGTATTTTTATAAATATTTTCTTCAGTTTTAAAAATAAATATTGTAAATTTTATTTTATTAATATTTTTTCTGACACATAATATTTGAAATGTAATGTTTCACATTAACACTAAGCACTCTTTCACAAGTTCAGTCAAAGATGGTTCTTGGCTAAACCAATTATGAATGGGATGGGTATTATCTTTGGTTTGCAACAAAAATCAAACACCACCAATGAGAAAATCACAAAAATAATTTTGTTGGCATTCTGGAGATTAAACTCAGGATCCTGTGCGCTTAAACATACGTTTCTACTTATTATGCTAGACTGACCCATTTAAAGAGTACAGGTTAGTGAATATTCAATATTATAATTGTTTTTAATTTTTGTAATTTTAAAAAACAAAATAGTGAAATTGATTTATAATTAATTATATTTATGTCTTTTATTCTAAAGCTGATAAATAGTTATTCTTTATTTTTTAGATAATTTTTGTACAGAGAATCTGTGTATTTAGTGTATAGAATTTTTTTTACCATACATGGTTAGTAAGAAAGAAAGCTAAAAATGTAATTCGTTTATCATTTTTATTTTATAACTCTGTAAACAACATCGATAATGAAATACATAGATCGGTAAACGTTGAATAACACTAATTATATAAATGCTGTTTCTGCTAAAAAATATAAATAACTTTTAAGTAATTAATACTGGCTAATTGTTGATGTTAATAGTTGTTATAATAGTAAAGTATTTTTGATAATTCAAAGTTAAAATTACCATGGAAACAAATACACATAGACATTTTCTTAGTAAATTTGAGTTTTTTTTTACTTTGTGATTAACTGAAATTTCTATTTTCGTGTTTATTATAATAATAATGAATAATTAAATTTGTTTTTATTATTAATTTTAAACATTAACTGTATTTACAAGTAATCAATGTGTTATAGGACATTATTTTATACTATATACAGTGATGCAATTTCTTTTAGAAATCGAATACAATTTTCAATAATAACACAATGCAGTAAGATGAATATTACTTGTTGTTTAGCTTTCAGACTNTTACTTGTTGAGCTTTCAGACTAATGCCAGTCATAAAATATATTTATTAAAATATTAATTTGACACGTATGAAATTTCAATAATGAGCAACAACAGAAATTTATCAAGGTAATTTTTACATTTTAATAATTAAACATTTTCCAGACAAATCTATAACATTCTATTTATGTAAATGTACATTAGTTAAATTTTTTGAAACGTTAATTAGATATTTACTTTGAGTTTAAATAATTAAAACTGCTTATTTATCATGTATTGTTTCATTTTATTTCATTTGTTTCACTCACTAATTTTTGTTCTATAATTTATTTTGCATATTAGTACGAGTAGTAGCATTTACCAAATAATAATACTTTTCAAGGAGGGTTAAAAATAATGTTACAAATGATTTATTCAATGGTAATGATTAAATTGTATTAAAAGTTATTATTTTTTAATTAAAAACATTTGGAGAATGATGTATAAATTCAATGAGGTACNTAATTAAAAACATTTGAAAAATGATGTATAAATTCAATGAGGTATAATTACATTTTTTTATTTTAGTAATATTTGAATAAAAAAGTTTGGACATTGCTAAATTAGTAGTTTTAGTGATTAATTTTTGTGACATTATCCAAAATCTGATACGTACCCACAATTATATTATATTATAGTCAAGTTTTAGCTTTTATTAGATACATATATTTCTTTAATAAATATTAGATGAAATTTTTTTCTGTTTACTTATAATAATAATAAATTTATCATTTTGCTTTTATTATAATAAACCTTTTAATATATTCTTAACTTGATTGAATGTAATTCAGAAAAATTGTAAGAATAGTATATCAAAATTAAGTCTAGAATGACGTCTAATTATTAAATTTTAATAATTCTATATTTGAACTCTAGAATTATTAGCTATATAATAATTTTTAAGTTCATCCATAATGCCTTGTATGTATATCAACATTTTTTTTTTTAATAAGGATACATATTTTGCATTAAATGAAATGTTTGCAGTTTTATTTTAATAGTATAACATTTTAATTTTTAACAGAACTTTAAACGTTTATTAAATATAAACCGTTCAATTTTTAAATTCTTGATTTAATATACATGTATAATATATTTTCTTTTAATTATATTATTCTATATTGATAAAAATGCTTTCCTAGGGACATAGAAAAAGCGATATGCCTTTGATGACACTAGTCTTACAATATTGCCTTTGCTATCTAATATCATTAATTTTTATAATATAATTACAATTAACATGAAAATAAATGACATTTAATACACATAGACATTTTTTGCCTAAATTCGAGTTATTGTAAACGGATTAATTAATTAAATTAGCTTGAATTCAACGTTTTATGTTAAATTTTAAAAAGTGATGCAATTTGTATTGAAACATATTACAATAGTGGTTTTTATTACTGTTAAATTTAAATGTAAACTGGTTTTCCATTTTGCGGAAATTTTTCTATAGGCACGTGTAGAATAAAATTTTACTGAGTGTTATTATAATTATCTTACCCTAAAAATTATTATTATTTAAGAACACATTTATGTCCTACATTTTTTATGAGGTCAATATCTCATAGCTTCTAGTTGCGCCCATACAACTGTATGTATTAGATTTTTGGAATAATTTCACTTTAGACTTTCTATCCCCCACAAAAAATATTGAATACTCGAATTATTTTATACGAGAATTAATATTTTAAATAAAAAAAAATGATGGACATTTATTAATTGAAAATAATATTTGACTATATGAACTTTAAACAAAAAAGTTGGTTCTTTTATTAATGATACCTCTTTATTATCATAACCTATATATATTATATTATATATACAGTGTTCAGTAAGTAAAGAAACGGGTTTCTATTGTTCTTATTGTTAGAACAACTGGCCTGTTTCCTTAATTACTAAATACTGTATATATATATATATATATGAATACAATTTTGAGAACTGCTTATAAATGCATATTGATATGTGAAAGTTTGTTTTCATTTATGTTACACTTTCAAAACAAATGATGACTTTAAACTTATAATATAAAATTAGCGGGCTGTACATAGTTTGATATATCGAGACAGTTATGTCACTAGTACATGCTATAAATTTGCAAATGTAAAAAAAACTGGCTTTACTATGCTAACATTTTCAGAAAGATATGTCGCATGTACGAGTTTTAACATTTGCTACGAAAAAGTCATTTGTTCAATGTATCTTAATTAAATTGATACATTCAAAGATATTTAACTATTAATTATTATACATAATAAGGCTATTGAATTGTGATAACTTTAGAGGTATCTTTAATTTAAGAACAGAATTTTTTTTTTTTTTTACATAGTCAAATTTATTTTATATTAATGACTGCGAATTTTTTTTTTATTAATCAAAACACTAAATTTCTTGTACATTTTAATTAATGTATTCGATATTTTTTTTGTGGGTAAAAATGAGTTATGATTATTCTAATGTGAAGTGAAGTATAATCCAAAAATCTAGTAAATTAAGATGTTAAGACACAACTGGAAGTTAAATAAAGTACCTTACAAAAAAAGTGGGATATATATGTGATCTTATATAAAAATATATTTTGGTGTTAAAAAATAATAGTAACACTCCCTAAAGTTTTATTCTAGTTGCGACTATGGATAGATGTCGGGAAAATAGGAAACCTGTTTAGATTTAATTTTAACAGCGATTAAAATCACTAATGTAAGATGTTTCAATAATAATGTGCTCAAGAAGTTCTGTATTCGTGTTGAACCTAGTTTTAGGACGAATTTAAACTCTTATTTAGTATTGATCATTAGTATAGTTAGAAAAAAGTATCAATTATGACTTTGTCAACAGATATTCTTAAAGTAAAATAGTAAGGCACATTGTTGTAAATTAATAATACATCAATAGGCAATACAAAAAGTACATTACTGATAAGTCACAATTGACACATAAACGTCCCGTATCTTTGATAATGA